GACTGTGTGAGGCCCAGGATGTTTGCAACATGCTGGTATCTGGGGCCATTGTTCTTGACCCAAACTGTGTAGAACTATTGATAAAGGACAGAGACCTGGCTCCTGTGGCCCTGTGGCTTCCTCCATGTGCTGTCCTCGTTTTGCTTCTAACATGACCCCAAGACCACAGATAATCTGTCCAGGAAGGACAGGCCCATCTCTGGCCCTTCACCCCGAGACCCCCGAGAAAACGTGGGCACAGTCCAGCACAAGCTTCCGAGCGCATAATTGCTTTGGTCGGAATAGACCGCAATTTTGGCTGTTGTCCACTCTCTGACTTGACAGTATCCTGCTTTTTGTGAACTTAACCCCCAGGAAACTCCCCTTGCTTCCTGCTGCTCATTGGCCTGTTGGTTGCTTAGCTGGAGAACTGTCCCGGGACAGGGCCCTGATTTGGCAGCAATCTGTGCTTGTCCACAATCACCTGGTTTTAAACTCTTACTGGACCACTCTTTGCTGGTTGCCAGGTACCTGTTCAGAGTACAGACATTGAAACCAGTGTGCAGTGGGTTAACTGGATGGAGAGATGTTTCATCTATGAATACTAGCACACGGCTTTCACATTCGAGTTGTGTGCACATATATGCGTGTACGTGCATACATGTGTGTGTTTTAATAACATTTTGTTGTGTTTTCGGTCATGGTTCACATAGCAGTTAAACTCCCCGTCAACAATTTCTACACAAGCTCGGTGACCTGTTACTCTCTTCACAATGCATGAGCTTTCTCCTTATTTGTGTTCTGGTTGTTCCATTTCCATTGATCTGACTTCCCTGCCCAATTACTTTCTCATCTTTGTTTTAAAGTAACTGTTTACCATTTGGTCTCACATGGGTAATTTTTTTTAAAGGAGCACAAAGCTTCTATGTGATTTTTTTTTTTTTGTAGCCAGTTTGTTATTTAGCAACAAGGTGTATGTATGTGTTTATTTTTTGAGGAATTGAGAAAAGAGAGTTGAGTGGGGCCTAGAAAATCATCTTGCAAAGCCATCACTGTTCCCACGTAGCAACTTTGATGTGGGAGGTGTTGGGGCTGTCAGCACGCCAGGTTCGTTTGTTCATGGTCCAAATTACCCAGGTTATGCCTGTTATCCAGATCCTCGGTTTCTGTATTAGTGGTGACAGAATGTGACTGCCAGCTCATAGACTGCCACAGCTAGAAGGGTGTCTCAGCAGGACCACAGTGACCTCCTCATCTCCCAGAAAAGGGCCCAGGAACGGCCATTCAGAAGGAGGAGGTGACTTTCCTGAGCTATCATCCAAGCCAGATTGGAACTCAGAGCCCATCTCGCTCCTCCTCCCCACGCTCCCGTCACACCCTACCACCATCATACACAAATTGCCTCTGACCTCTTCTAACTCTCAACCCCCTGTTTCCACGGATCTCGGCATAGCTGGCCATCCACCAAGACTCTTTCTTCCTGGCTTCTCGCTCTGCCCTGCTGTTACCGTCGGCAGTGCCCACTTTTTGTCCTCTTCTGCTTGGGTGATCTGATCACTTTTAATGCTCTGAGAACTTAAAATCGAGTCTCTCATCCTGCAGCCGTGGGATAAAGCCTTCGGAGTCTTCCTGTTGGGGAGACAAGCCCTGTGGTCTTGCCCCACTTCTAGCCGCTACACAATCAGAACAGGGAAAGTGGCTGTAAACCTGCCCTAAGTTTCTCCCAAGAGGGAGTCCTTCAGCAGCTGCCTCCGGGAGGCTGCAGGCTTTCCGTCCTCTGGCTGCCACTTTCAGTTTCCTTTGCTTCACTCTTATACGCATTCTTGTTAAAGAAAGGGCACTGAGGATGGATGGGAAACCGTCTCCAAGCTGAGTGATCTGGGGTTTAGTTTTCCTGCCGATTTTAGGAAAGAGCCCTGGAGGTGCAATGGTTAAGGGCTTAGCTACTAACCAAAAGCTCGGCGGCTCAAACCCACCAGCAACTCTATGGGAAAAAGACCTGGCAGTCTGTTCCCATAAAGATTACAGCCTAGGAATCCTGTCGGGCCGTTCTGCTCTATTACGTGGGGTCACTATGAGTCAAAACGAACTCAACGGCATCCGTCAACAGTGACGTTGGTTTTAGAACAGAGGCATCCATTGCCATAAGGAAGCCCTTTAAGTCATAAGGTGGAACCAGAAGCAATGCGGGTGCCTGCTCCCAGGGATCTAGATCATGAGTTAGGCACCGCAGTGCCATGGAGAAGTTGAATAACACTGACCTTCTGCAGGGTGCTGACTGGAGGGCCAGAGGGCTTCTGCAGTGATGGTCGTGTTCTGCCTCTTGGTCTGCATGTCAAGGATGCATGCATATGCTAAACATGATCACATCCGCCCTTAAGATTAAGGAGCCCTGGTGGCACCATGGTTAAGCACTCAGCAGCCATCCTAAAGGTTGGTGGTTTGAACCCACAAGCTGGTCAGTGGGACAGATGACCTGGCTATCTGCTTCTGTAAAGATTACACCCAGGAACAACAATAGAACTTACATGCAATACAGTGTCTGAATCTAAAGGGTTACCTTTGTTGGGAGCTGTTGAGTCAATTCCAACTCAGAGCAACCCCATGTGACAGAGAAGAACTGCCCCATAGGGTTTTCTAGGCTGTAGTCTTTTTTTTTTTTTTTTTCCAAGAGTTTGTTTTACCTTCAATGTAATGCGTACATTTAGTTTCATTCCCCATTCACCATGTCCAATGCTAACCCAGTCTCCTACCCTCCCTAACCTGTAACCCTCCCCCTGTGCCCCTCATAGTTATGAACTCCTGTTTGTCCTGCATTTCCTCAGTTTGAATGGTGGTCCTCTGGTGTCCCATGGTCTATTGCTCTAAGGGATGTATTATCATAGAGTATATGGGTGCATCATCCTGGGTTGAGTGGTCTGTGCATACATCTTGTTAACTATTGGACTGAGAGCCCACCCCTGGGGGTGAGTTTTAATCCAGGCACAGAATGTATTCCAGGGCCATAGTATTGGGGGGTCTCACCAGATTTCATCTGACCAGTAATTCTGGTCATTATTGAGTTTTTGGATTTTGTTCCACGTTTTTCCTCCCACTCTATCCAGGATCTCCAGGTTTGATCCTTTCCTGAGTGGTTGGTATTGGTAGCCGGGCACCATCTAGTTCTTCTGGTCTCAAAGGGCTGATTGCTTCTAAATGCCCTTGTTTT